GTAAAGTAAAACAACCCAATGTTCGTCCCCCGGTATAGAACCCACTAGCTAGCTGGCTAACTGAATTTGATGACGTGTGCTGATACTTTATTTTATACAGAAACCCCTGAAGCCAAGAGCCATGTGACAAAATTAGGTGGAAAATGAATAGTATTTCAATTTTTCAAATGTCCTTGTTTTTTTTGTTCATTGTTGAAGTACGTTTGATTGTTACACTACTGACCAAACGTATGTGGACACCTGCGTTGTCGAACATCTCAGGTCATTAATATGGAGTTGGTCCCCCCCCCTTTTGCTGCTATAACAGCCTCCACTCTTCTGGGAAGGCTTTCCACAGTGTTGGAACCTTTGCTCGTGGGGACTTTGCTTCCATTTCAGGACAAGAGCATTAGTGAGTTCGGGCACAAGATTATTGAAAACCCAATTAAGCTCCTGTTTTTGTATGCGTGCGTGTGTGTGTGTGTGTGTGTGTGTGTGTATGCGTGTGTGTGTGTGTATGCGGTGTTGTGTGTGTATGCGTGTGTGTGTGTGTGGTGTTGCCGGTTGTGTGTTGTGTGTGTGTGTGTATGCGTGTGGTGTTTATGTGTGTGTGTACTGTATGTTTGTAGCTGCAACACATCACAATTAGGGAAACCAATATGAATATATTATAATAAAGGAGGAAATTAATTACCTGGTAGGCAGTGCTCTACAATACTGTATTTGTGGTGTGGATACAGGCATTATGAGTTATGTCAATTAAGCACCAGGGCGGTATGTATAGTTTGTGGAGCCACCTGCTGGAATTATTTGAGTACTGCAATCCCATGTTTTATATAATATCAGATATTATATATATATATATATATATTATCATATATACAGCGTTGGTGCTTCCTCGGTTTCACTTCTGTCACACGAGACATGCATGCCCAGGCTTTTGTCACGTGTAGTCCGGCTAAGGAAACCTAGCCACTGTATTTGAGTGAGGGCAGTACAAGGTCAAGATGAGATACGCCCATGCCAAAGCTCTAACATGTCATCCAAGTCTCTAATGACATGACCGGAGATGTTGTGTACCAGAACACACATGTGACAGGAAGAAGCGACAGCCTGTTTTACACGCCTGTGATTGGTGGTAACAAAGTGACTCTAGGTGCTAATCTTAACAGTGGGTCAATGGTGAGATGGCAGCGCTGAAGCTGATAGATGCTGCGGGTAGTTGATGTGAAAAGCCAGTTTAACTCAGATGTCGTGATTGTTGGCTGTGGAGGATGCTTTGTGAGGCCTAAGTCTGCTTCAACATAACATGGAAGTCTATGGATGGAAGATGGTTGTTCCAACTGTGGTAGTAGAAAGTCAACATGATGAACTAATACTGGGAACCAACGTGATCATGCACATCCTCCGTGAATCAAAACAATGTGACAATTATTGGAAAGCAGTCTCGGCCCCCTGCATCACGGAAGATGAACAGTTCTTGCATGTAGCGAAGACCACTGAGAGGCAGACTTCCTGCCATGTAGGAACGGAATGAACCAACTGTGACCCTGGACGGAGTACGGTTGGTAAACTACCGACCATGTTGGTCCTGACATGCGGAGATAGAGCTACTATGTCTCGTCAGCACCAGGGGGGGGGGGGATCATGGTGGCAAGGATTGTTACTCCTGGGGAGACAGATGGGTCCCACTGAAGCTGATCAACACATCTGGTCGTCCTGTGTGGCTGAAGCGCAATGTGAAGCTTGCAGACATCTTCCCAAGTGTAGCAATGGAGGACATACAAGACGCCAAACCAGTCCACCGTCAGCTGTCCTCAAGCCACGCCTGAGGACGATGTGACGGGCATGAGAGACACGTCCAGAGAAGACAGTGAGAACTGCGAGATGAGTGCTGTTGGACTCAGCTCCTGTGATGTGTCTGCATGTGAAGGTCAGCTGGTGACCTAGAAGTGCGTATGAGGATATGTCTCAGTTACCATCTGATTGGGTAAGCTGAAGGATTTGTTTCACAGAATCCGCATGTCCGATAATGACTGTTCGGTTCCGTTGCGAAGAGTGCCTCCAAGTCAATACCAGAGCTGCACAGGTCTCGAGGATGGAGAAAAGATATCATCCGGAAATCGAAGCAAGTAGCAGCTCCCCTGGCTAGTCTCAAAGAAAAGGAGACCTTCGTTTGTACAGACTTCGCGTTTGAACAGAGACCGAAGGTGCACATCCTCTGCCGAACCAGACGGACTGCTTGGGTAGCGCTCGGCGGCAATGGATCTCACCTCTGTGTTCTATAACATGCCCACTGCACGAAGATGACAGGAAGCATTCCGCCTTCACAACACCTATGGGGCTTTTGGAAACAACCGGGCTACCTCAGGGTCTCTGTAACAGCCCTGGAAGCTTCAGCGCATGACGACCAGTATCTTCAGAGATCAGAACTCATGAGTTTGCGTGTTACTTGGATGATCTGTTGGTCTTTGGCCCAGACGAGAAGATGGCCTAGGGACGCTTGGAGATGGTCTTCAGCAGGCTTCATAGTCACATGAAGTTGGCCCAAAATAAGTGCTCTTTCTCAGGAAGTCTGTCAAGTTCCTTGGACACATAATTGATGAAATGGTGTGTCTACAGATCCTAGTAAAGTTGACAGCATCTCTAAGATGAGCAGTGCTGATCTGATGGAATTGATGGTGTGACTCCTTCACAGAATTGGATAAGGTCGTTCCTTGGCATGGTAAACTACTACCAACACTTTGTGCCTGGTTTCTCTGCAATAGCCAGACCTCTCTTCTTGTAGACTGGATCAAAGAGAAAAACCCAAGGGCCGCCAGAAAGTAAAGCTCTCCTCACTGTGTCAAAAGTTGAGCATCGCAGACACCCGAACATGAGCCTTCGAAAGAGTTGAAGAAATCTCTAGTAGACGGGGGTGGGGGTTTGGCACATCCTGGCTTCACCCATCCGTTCATGTTATAAAACAGATGGGTCCCTGGATCGCATCGGTGCTGTCCTGTCACAGTTGCAAGATGGAGAAACTTGTGCCAGACCCATTGCATTTGCTAGCAAGTCCTTGTTTCAGTTCAGAATAACTACCCAGCTCATCGGTTAGAGTTCCTGGTTGATCTGCGACAAGTTCAGTCACTGGTGAAAGGTAATGTCTTTACTGTTTGGACTGACAACAATCCATTACTCACATTATGACCAAGCTGAGGCTGGACTGTTGCAAGCAGCGCTGGGTGGCCAAGTTAGCCAGTTATGATTTTGATATCAGGTACGTGTCGGGTCCTCAGAATCTGGTTGCTGACGCTCTGAGTCGAGTGCCCTTTTGTCAAAGGTGTTGGCAAAGACTGCTTCGTGAGCCCTACGAAAAACACCTTAGTGATGTTCAGGCAGGTGTCAAACGCTTCAGTCCAAGATGCCTTCAGGTGGTCAAGTGATCTCAAAGGCAGCCCCAAATGTGAAAGCTTGCAGAGAACTTCCAGGTCTGTTTACGTGTGTTCTCAGTCCTTGGCAGCAGATGAGGTGTCAGTCATACTCGAGTCACATGACAACTGGGAAGAAGGAGCTAGAACACGTGCTGTGGAAAATGCTGCATAATTTACCTCAACTGATACCTTCTGGTCAAGACACCTTACTTGCCTACTCTGAGAAGGAGCTCGTGATGAGCAACTCAACGGCAGGACCCTCTCCCGTGTGCTATTCTATGTGGAGAGACACTTGCAGGCCTTCTAGATGGGAAAGAGCAAGAGAAACAGTTACAGTCATCAGATACTGAAGAGCTGGGAGAAGCTTGTTGTCAGTAATGACATACTGTACAGAGTCTCACGAGGATCAGATATCAAAGACAAAGCGGTTCCAGTACGTCGTTCCTGAGTCTCTCAAAGCAGAAGTCCTGAAGGGTGTTCATGACCACGCGGGTCATCAGGGTCAGTTCAGAAGCCTTAGTTTAGTAGACAGAGATTCTTCTGGCTGCACCTTGGCAGAGATGTTAGGGATTATGTCCGTGGTTGCCACCGTTGCGTCGTCAGCAAGACAGTTGAGCCCGACGGCAGTGCCCCACTGGAAAGTATCACCTCGACTAGGCCGCTAAACTGATTTGTATCGATTTCTGGTCTGCTGAAGATTCAAGCAACAAGTCCATTGATGTACTAGAGATAACAGATCACTTTACAAGAATGGCTCAAGCGTTTCCCTGCAGAGACCAATCAGCTAAGCAGGTGGCAAGAATCGATACTTTTGTATGTATGGATTTCCTGTGAGAATTCATTGTGACCAAGGGGCAAGTTTTGAGAGTCAGTTGATCAGCGAGTTACTCAGTCTCTGGTGTGAGGAAGTCGCACATGACAACAAATCACCTGATGGGGAATGGCAGCGTGGAACGTTTCAATCGGACGCTTGGCAACATGATCCGAGCTCCAGCACCCAACACTAAGCAAGACTGGCCCAGACCCCTGCAGACATTGACGTTCATGTACAATTGCACCACCCATGAGACGACAGGGTACACCCCCTTCTACCTGACGTATGGAAGGATCCCTCGTCTGCCAGTAGATTGTCAGAAACACTGAACGATCCAGCTGTTACCAATTATGACAAGTATGTGGTGTCGCTCTCCAATGACCTGAAGGATGCTATGGTGATAGCGCAGGAACATGCTGCAAAAAGGCAAACAACCGACAAATTGAAATGTCCAACAGAAAGGTCAAGGGGCCACCATAGAAGTTGGCGATGGAGAAAGAAAGAGGCAAGAGTAGAGTGGCGGATCGATGGGAATGGACAATATACAGTACAACGTGGCAGACAAGAATCCGGGTATCACACATACAGAATATGTAATACGCCATGGAAAGGAAAAAGTGTCCATCGGAACCTGATCAGTTGGTCACTTCTTCCAGTAGAGATGAAAGTGCAGTTTCTGGCCCCTCTCATCCATGTCCGTTGCCCTGACTCCAAGTTCAGGTGCTCACAAGTGATGTGGATCAGTGTCAACGTGAGACAAGGAGTTCTTTCTCAAGAAGAGAGTCAAGATTCACTATCTGGGATGGACGTGTCGTAGATTCACTATCTGGGATGGAGCAGGACGTGTCTGTAGATTCACTATCGGGATGGACGTGTCTGTAGTTCACATCTGGGATGGAGCAGGACGTGTCGTAGATTCACTATCTGGGAGGAGCAGGCTGTGTCTGTAGATCACAACTGGGATGGATGGAACATCTGAGCGGAGTGTCTGTACAAGGTGTCACACGGGGAGAATCAGATCACGAAAGGAAAGAGGAGCAGACCTATCTGCGGAAGAGAGACTGGATTCCATTCTGAAAGAGAGAGAGAGAACCCTTACCTGATCCGGAGCTTGTGACTGAAGGAAGAACTGGAGATTGGATACACAGTTACCAATAAGTAGAGAGAGCATGAGGATTCCCAGGTGTGACCTCAGAACCACTGGTCTCTCAAGACTCGAGATTCAGAACCACTGGTCTCACAAGACTCAGAGATTCAGAACCACTGGTTCTCAAGACTCAGAGATTCAGAACCACTGGTCTCCAAGACTCAGAGATTCAAAACCACTGGTCTCGCAAGACTCAGAGATTCAAAACCCATGGTCTCACAAGACTCAGAGATTCAGAACCACTGGTCTCGCAAGACTCAGAGATTCAGAACCACTGGTCTCTCAAGACTCAGAGATTCAGAACCACTGGTCTCTCAAGACTCAGAGATTCAGAACCACTGGTCTCTCAAGACTCAGAAGAGATCCAGTGAGCAGACATGCTCTTCTACCGCCTTTGGAAAGTCTGAACAGCCTAGTGAAGAAACTGCCCATGAAGACTGTCTATGAGGAATTATGTGAGGATGAGCAAATGTTCCACCAATTAGTATACAAACCAAAACTCCATCTTTAAACATGGCTAAGCCAAAGAAACACTATACCACAAACAACAAAACCTAAAGGTAACTCCCAAAATAAAAGAAACACCAACATACAGTAAAGTGTCTTAAAGAGATTCTCTGGTACTTTAAGCCAGTAGTTCTGAAAGTAGCACTCACAAGCCAAAAGTGGTCCCGAAAATGACGTACTACATCACATACAGTGCCTTCAGAAAGTATTCACTGCCCTCTACTTTTTCCACATTTAGTTGTGTTACAAAGTGGGATTCAAATTGTTTTAATTGTAAAAAAATAAAAATAAATGTCAACGATCTAAACAAAATACTCTGTAATGTCAAAGTGGGAAAATAAAACACTAATATATCTTGATTAGATAATAGGGCAGTAACAGCCAGGGGTGAAAGTAAGGCGGTACGGCGTCCGCCAAAATACATAGCGGGGGTAAAACGCTGTATAGGTAAAACGCCATATAGGAAAATTTAATTAATAAATTTAAATACAACATGCCCAAATAAACTATTAAACTAAGGCATATACACCATTATTTAACATTACTGCATGTCAGCCGCATGAAACATGAGTGAATTGACTGGAAACCCGGGGGTATACACTCCAAATTTCATTGTGGTTTGAGGAGAACAATGAGATGCTCATGGACAAGAGGCAGAGATGAGTGGCCGAGATGCTCTTGGACAAGAGGCAGAGATGAGTGGCAGAGAGATGCTCATGGACAAGAGGCAGAGATGCGTGGCCGAGACCGAGGGCGCGGACGCATCAATTCAAGTGTAGGTCTACAGGACAATAGCAGAATGTCATAACAACATGTAGGTGTTTTGTAACTGATGTCTCTTTTCATTCATCACTTTGTGGGTGCACAGTGCACTTTTGGGGTTTGGATGCTGACGTTATTTTGTGAGTGGACGAATGTGTGCGGGTAGCCTACAGGAGCGCCTTTGTTAAGTGATTGTTTGACAATCAGATGAAAACATCATGAGGGTTGTGTTTATGCTACATTAAAATGCATGTGTCTCATCTGACCATATAGTGAACATTCAATTGCCAGAACATTGAAAATGTCCAATTGTCTCTGTCAGGTCCACATTGGGTAGACATCAATGGAAACATAGGAAAGGGACTATGAAATAATACAATATTTCAGTTGTGTTTATTACTTACATTTTATTTGATGACTTTATTATTTTTCATTCCTTAAAGACATCATTCATCTCAGGCAGTAGCAGCCAGCCAGACAACGTTGTGCTCCCGTACTGTCCTGTCTTTAGTCATGCTACGTAGCTAAACCGGGTAAATCAATTTATAACATTTTTGACATGCGTTTTTCGGGAAATTTTTGTTGTTGTTATTCTGTCTCTCACTGTTCAAATAAACCTACATTAAAATTATAGACTGATCATGTCTTTGTCAGTGGGCACACGTACAAAATCAGCAGGGGATCAAATACTTTTTTCCCTCACTGTATGTGACACGAGAAATTCCATAATTGGTGTCTTGTAGATGGTGGTGGAAAACGCTTGTCATAGGCGCCGCTCAAGAAATCTCCCAAAAGTGTTCAATTGGGAGTAAGAGGAAGATCGGAATGCCATGAACCAAGATGTTTTGTGAGTTCAAATCCAGGTGAGGACAGGCTAAATATAAATTACTGTATAAATTAACATGCACAATGTAATGTGTCAAATCTGTAGTGCTAAGCGATTAACCCACATTTTGTTTTTTGTTGTTGATTTTAAAAACTAATTGAACGACGTCGGTTCAACTTCTTGAATTCCATTTAGTTTCGTTTTTTGTGATCCCAACGTGCCGTTCCCTAGAGAGAGAAATCAAATAATTCCCGAGATAAATCAAGTCAAGAGCTATGCGGGACGTTGAGTTGAAGGGAGTTGTAGCTTTTCATTACGCAAACAAATATTCAACCTAGTTCAATGCAGAAAAAGTGGTAATTAACTACAACGACCATAATCCATTGCGCCCTGTTCTTTCTGGTTCGGACAGAGATGGATACAACTTTTACGCCTGCTAATTTAGGTTAGATACACTGTCAGTAGCTGAGTGTAGATGCGGTGTGGAAATCAAGCGCAGGAAACACGGGCGTTCGTGAACAGGGCTTTAGTCAACGAAAGCAGCACCAAACAGGGAACAGCCAACCCAACGGGAGGCAAAATACAAATTACGCACAATAAACACAGTGCGTAAAACGACGATAGCGCACACAGTGCGGAAATCTCGAAAAAACAACAAAACACGAGAGTAAATACAGAGCGCAACAGCTTGACAAAAAAACAATCACACATAACACCTGACCCAACACACGATAACTAAATAGGAAACAAAATCAAACACTAACAAGGGACAGGTGTACAAACAGACAAAACCAAACAAACATGAAACCTCGAACGGTGGCAGCTAGTACTCCGGGGACGACGACCGCCGAAGCCTCCCCTAAACAAGGAGGAGGAGCAGCCTCGGCCGAAACCGTGACAGTACCCCCCCTTGACGCGCGGCTCCAGCCGTGCGCCGATCCCGGCCTCGGGGACGACCAGGACGACGCGGAGCAGGGCGCGTAGGATGACCCCGATGGAACTCGGTCAGCAGGGACAGGTCTAATATGTCCCTCCTCGGCACCCAGCACCGCTCCTCCGGGCGTACCCCTCCCACTCCACGAGATATTGGAGACCCCCCATCCGGCGTCTCGAATCAAGGATGGACCTCACAGTGTACGCCGGAGCCCCCTCGATGTCCAACGGGGGCGGAGGGGGTCTCCTCTATCTCATAGTCCTGGAGTGGACCAGCTACCACCGGCCTGAGGAGAGACACATGGAACGAGGGGTTAATATTCCTGTAATCAATAGGCAGTTCTAACCTGTAACACACCTCGTTCAACCTCCTCAGGACTTTGAATGGCCCCACAAACCGCGACCCAGCTTCCGGCAGGGCAGGCGGAGGGGCAGGTTTCTGGTCGAGAGCCAGACTCGATCTCCAGGTGCGTATACAGGCCCCTCACTGCGGTGGAGATCGACGCTCGTCTTATGCCGACGGATGGCCCGCTGTAGATGGACGTGGGCAGCGTTCCATGTCTCCTCGAGCGCCGCACCCACTCATCCACCGCAGGGGCCTCGATCTGGCTCTCGTGCCAAGGTGCCAGAACCGGCTGGTACCCTAACACACACTGGAAAGGGGGTTTGTTTAGTGGAGGAGTGGCGGAGAGAGTTCTGCGCCATCTCGGCCCACGGAATGTATCTCGCCCACTCCTCCGGCCGGCCCTGGCAATAAGACCTCAGAAACCTACCACATCCTGGTTGGGCACGTTCAACCTGCCCATTACTCTCCAGGTGGTAACCCGAGGTAAGGCTCACCGAAACCCCCAACCGTTCCATAAAGGCTCTCCCACTCTGGAGGTGAACTGGGGGCCTCGATCAGACCCCTATATCCTCGGGTACCCCGTAATGCCCGGAAGACATGGGTAAACAGAGCCAGCGGTCTGTAGGGCCCGTAGGGAGACCCGGCATGGGAAGGAGAAGACAGGCCTTCGAGAACCGATCCAACAACGACCAGGATGGTAGTATTCCCCTGTGAGGGGGGAAGGTCTGTAACAAAGTCCACCGAGAGGTGGGACCAGGGTCGTTGTGGAACGGGCAGGGGTTGTAGCTTACCCCTGGGCAATGTCTGGGCGCCTTACACTGTGCAACACCGAACAGGAGGAGACATAAACCCTCACATCCCTGGCTAACGTGGCCACCAGTACTTAGTGCTAAGGCAGTGAACTGTCCGGCGATACCTGGATGTCCAGAGGAGGGGGACGTATGAGCCCAATAAATGAGGCGATCGCGTACCTCGAGCGGGAACGAACGTCCGTCCCCCTGGACACTGGGAGGACTTGGGTCGGTGCGTAACGCCCGCTCGATCTCTGCATCGACCTCCCATACCACCGGTGCCACCAGACAAGACTTTGGTAGTATGGGAGTGGGCTCAACGGACCTCTCCTCCGTGTCATACCGCCGAGACAGGGCATCTGCCTTCCCCTTCTGGGACCCAGGGATGTAAGTGATTTTAAACACAAACCGGGCTGAGAAACATAGTCCAGCGGGCTGGCGAGGATTCAGTCTCCTAGTGCCCGGATGTACCAGGTTACGGTGGTCCGTCAAATGAGGAAAGGGTGTGAGCCCCCTCAAGCCAATGCCTCCACACCCTTAGGGCCTGTACCACGGCTAACAGCTCCTGTCCCTACGTCATAATTCCGCTCCGCGGACTGAGCTTCTTAGAATAAAGGCACAGGGGCGGAGCTTAGGTGGTGTGCCAGACCGTTGTGTGAGGACGGCCCCAATACCGGCCTCAGAGCGTCTACTCTACCTGGATGGTAAAGCGGGATCCGGATGCGCCCAAAACCGGCGCCGAGGTAAACAGGTCCTTCAGTCTCCCAAAAGCCCTGTCCGCCTCAGCTGACCACCGCAAGCGCACCGGACCCCCCTTCAACAGAGACGTTATGGGAGCTGCCACCTGTCCAAAACCCCGGATAAACCTCCGGTAATAATTAGCAAAACCCAAGAACTGTTGCACCTCTTTCACAGTGGTTGGGGTTTGCCAATACGCACAGCTGACACCCGGTCAACCTCCATCTTCACCCCTGACGCAGACAACTGATAACCCAAAAAGGAGACGACTTCTGAAAGAACAGACATTTCTCTGCCTTGACATATAGGTCATGCTCCAACAGTCTCCTCAACACTCGGCGCACCAGGGCTACATGCTCAGCTCGGGTAGAACTGTACACCAGAATCGTCTATGTACACGACTACTCCCTGCCCCTGCATGTCCCGGAAAATCTCATCTACAAAGGATTGGAAGACTGAGGGAGCATTCATTAACCCATATGGCATGACGAGATACTCGTAATGACCGGAGGTCGTGCTAAATGCTGTCTTCCATTCATCGCCCTCTCTAATGCGCACCAAGTTATATGCGCTCCTGAGATCCAATTTTGTGAAGAACTGAGCACCGTGTAATGACTCCGTCATAGTCGCAATCAGAGGAAGTGGATAACTGTACTTCACCGTAATCTGATGAGACCGCGGTAATCAATACACGGGCGCAAACCTCCATCTTTTTCTTCACAAAAAAGAAGCTTGAGGAAGCGGGTGAAGTGGAGGCCCGTATGTATCCCTGTCTCAGAGACTCTGCGATGTAAGTTTCCATCGCCTTCCTCTCCTCTTGAGACAAGGGATACACATGGCTCCGCGGGAGTGCTGCTCCTAACTGGAGATCTATCGCACAATCCCCCTGTCTATGAGGCGGCAGCTGCGCCGCCCTTGTCTTACTAAACACCAGTGTCAAATCCTCATACTCGGGGGGAATATGCAGTGCGGGCATTTGATTTGGACTCTCCACGAGGTCGCCCCTATGGAAACCACCAGACATAGCCCCCTCACACTGAACAGACCACCCTTTAAGAGCTTTCTCTCGCCACAAAATAGTAGGATCATGGGTAATCAACCAGGGAAGTCCCAGCACCACCGGATACGCAGGAGAGTCAATCAGATAGAGCTGAATCGTCTCCTCATGACCCCCTGCGTCTTCATCCTAAGGGGCGCTGTGACCTCCCTAATTAACCCAGATCCTAACGGACGGCCTATCTAGGGCATGTACAGGGAAAGGCTTATCAACGGGAAGGAGAGGAATCCCTAACTCTACACAGAACTGGCGATCTACAAAATTCCCAGCTGCGCCTGAATCTACTAGCGCCTTATGCTGGGAACGAGGTGCAACCTGTGGGAAACAAACAGGCAAGGTTATGTGAACGACAGAAAGCTCTGGGTAAGTAGGGCGCCTACTCACCTGGGAGGACTCCCCAATGCGTGGCCTGCGCTCACCTCCACCGGGGGACCTTCCCCAACACCTAGCCGCGGGTGTGCCCTCCACGGCCACAGTTGGTGCAGGGAACGGCCCCCTCGGGTTCCTACTCCTCCGTTCTCTAGCGCCAGCACCTCCGAGCTCCATAGGGCTCGGCTCGGAGGTGCCGGAAGGTGGAATGGGTAACCCCCACCCGGGACGTCCACGGGTGGCGAGCAGGGGTGTCCAGCCGAATGGCCATGTCGACCAGTTGGTCAAACGACAGCGTGGTATCCCTGCACGCCAACTCTCTGTGGACGTCCTCCCGGAGGCTGCAGCGGAAAGTGGTCTATGAGGGCCCGCTCATTCCACCCTGCATCTGCCGCTAGATTCCGGAACTCCAAAGCAAAAATCCTGTGCGCTCCTCATCCCTGTCGGAGGTAGAACAAGACGCTCCCCCGCCGCCTTCCTTCTGGTGGATGGTCAAACACGGCACGGAAGCGGCGGGAGAACTCCGCATAGGTAATAGTAGCGGCGTCTATTCTCCTCCATTCGGCGTTGGCCCACTCCAACGCCTTGCCGGTGAGACAGGAGATGAGGGCGGAGACGCTCTCGTGTCCCGAGGGCGCCGGGTGTACGGTGGCGAGGTAGAGCTCCACTTGCAGCAGGAACCTTGACACCCGGCAGCGGAGCCGTCGTACGCCCTTGGGAGGAGAGCCGAATCCCGCTGTGTTCGGAAGGGGGACAGGAGGATCTGACCGATGGGGATGGTCCGGTAGGTGGGGCGTGGGTACCCCGTGCTTTCCCATCGGTGGAGAGTGTTCATCACCCGATCCAGGGCGTGACCGATCTGGTTGATCCTGTCCTCCTGCCACAAAGACGGTCCTCCATGATGTCCGTTGGCGCGGTTGCTCCTGCTGATTCCATGGGTTGATGTGTGATTCTGTCAGTAGCTGAGTGTAGATGCGGTGTGGAAACAAGCGCAGGAAAACACGGGCGTTCGTGAACAGACTTTAGTCAACGAAAGCAGCACCAAACAGGCGAATAGCCAACCCAACCGGGAGGCAAAATACAAATTACGCACAATAAACACAGTGCGTAAAACGACGATAGCGCACACAGTGCGGACTCTCGAAAAACAACAAAACACGAGAGTAAATACAGAGCGCAACAGCTTGACAAAAAACAATCACACATAACACCTGACCCAACACACGATGACTAAATAGGAAACAAAATCAAAAACTAACAAGGGACAGGTGTACAAACAGACAAAACCAAACAAACATGAAACCTCGAACGGTGGCAGCTAGTACTCCGGGGACGACGACCGCCGAAGCCTGCCCGAACAAGGAGGAGGAGCAGCCTCGGCCGAAACCGTGACATACACACAGACTACATATACCTCAGGAGAGAAATTTACACACCACAACAACAAGAGAGAGAGATAGAGACAGTTGGTGAAAGTTTGCCTTATCTACTTTGAAGAACTAGTACAATGATTTAGTCAGAAAGCTCTCCCAGCATACTTAGGCAGGCTAGCTAAAAAAAATTTTTAAAAATAAAACATTGGACTGAAATGTTGACCCAAAACAAATGCAGCGGAACCAGTTACTTTAATAATAACTCATGATAATTTTATATGAAGTAAAATTGTGGGAAACTTGCTTCAACAAAAAAAAAAAATGTGTTGTGGTAGTGGAAGAATTTTTCTGATTTTATATTTGAAAAGCAGTTTTTTTTCTGTTGTTGGAAAATTTGTATTGTATTTTTTTACTGGCAGAGACATAAAAATGGAATCATCTGACTCTGGGGACGTAGATAAGGGCTTTAAGATTCCCTTTAAAGGTGAGATCAAATGTAGTTGATGCGGTTACTAGAACATTTCGTATGGTCAGTAGAAAATATTTTATGTTCTGATTTCAGTTTGAACAGCAGAGATTAGACTCCGATTTCATTTATGCTAACGTTTTATGTCTAATTTGGTTGGAAAAAACAGCAGTTTTTTAAAACAGATATCACTTTTGTTGGTAGAAGATCATTTTGGTTTTGTTTTTAGATTTGAATAGCAGAGAAGTAAACCTCTAAGTTTTTGTGAATGTGGTCAAAGTAGCTGATTTGTGTCAAAGTAAACAATAGGCATTTAACACTACATTGTGCTTAGCACCGGGCTCCATAGGCAATATTTCTGAGAAATGTTGCCAGCAATGGTTGCTGCAACATTTTTCTCATCGACAATGATCAACTTTTTGTAATCTGGGATCTGTGATCGGAAAGCGCCACCTAGGGGGTAATAATATGCCATTTAGCAGACGCTTTTATCCAAAAGCGACTTACAGTCATGGTTGCATACATTTTTTGTGTATGGGTGTCCCGGGGATCGAACCCATACCTTGGCATTACAGCGCCGTGCTCTTACCACTGAGCTACAGATAATAATATTTAGGAATCGTCCAATAGGTCATGTGATCGTCTGCCGTTCAAAAAAATATTTGGGGAAAACATGGCGGCCGTTTTTTGTAAATTTGTTGGCCATTGAGTCTAAAATGTTTCCGCACGACAATATTGATCATGATATGTTTAAAACATACATACTGTATTAATTTTGTCATGTTTTAACCGACATAAATATCCACGCTGGGGTGCATGCTAAGCGATTAGCATGCCCACCCAAAACCATGTACATTTTACATTGCGTCTTTTTTTTTTAGATTGTTTTTTTATATTTAACTAGCTGGTTAGCTGGATGAATACAAATTTTATACTTCCCAGCTTAGAATTTTGAAGTAAAATGTTTGTTAATCTCGTTATCCTTTTCTGACTTCACTGGCAGCAGGTGTGTTTGTTAGCTGATAAATTCCAGTACAGATGTGTCATCAACAGGCAACAACAAGCTATAATTAAACCCGCATGGCTATGTTGATGATCACAAGTTTACTGGAGAACGGAGACCAAGTAGAGACTTTTGGACAAGGTGGATGATTGTATATATAAGGCAGTTTATTCAAAAGGTTAAAGATATCTGTAAATAGCGTGCACGGACCCGTTCGTCAACCTCGTAGGGAGATATCTGAGAGCGCGCCCCTAAAAATTTTGTGCTGACATTTATACAATTTAAAAAAAAGTAGGGTTTATTCTAGTAGTTCTGATTTCTGATTGGTCCTGATGAGTTTGTCGAGGGCACTTCCCCTTTCCATTGGCTCTGAGTCGGGTTCTCTGTCTTCAGATGTTCAGCCTAAGAGAAGGGGGTTTTTGTGTGTGTGTGCTTAACAATGATGAGTGTGTGTGGTGTGTGCGTGTGTGTATGTGTGTGGTGTGTGTGAGGGTGTGTGTATGTGTGTGGTGGTGTATGTGTGGTATGTGTGGTGTGGGGTATGTGTGTATGTTTAACAATGATGATGTGTGTGTGTGTGGTGTGTGTATGTGTGTGTGTGTGTGGGGGTGTGTGTGTGTATGTCCTCAGAGCAATAACTCGTGAGTTGGGAGAACTGAGAGACCTATGGCATGGGTGTTGTCCATAGCCACCTGCTGATAAGGCCGACAAGATAGAAGTCTTTGTGCATTGTATTAAATCCAAAGGCCCAACACAAGATGGGTTATGCACAAGATTTAGTCAGACCAAGCTATAACATTAAAATATTTCTACGACAAAAACCCTCTCTTCACGTCTCCCCAGAGACGTGACCAAGTAACAGTAAAGAAGGAAAACTTAAGACGTGACACAAGCTAATAGTGCATTGGCAAAATAGGGAAAACTTATCAGAAGATAAAGTTTTACATTTCCCCCCCTTCAAAGTCTCACAAGAGACGTGACCAAAAAAGCTTAAATGCTGCAATTGGCAAAATAGGGAAAACTTTATCAGGGATAAAGTTTTACATTCCCCTCTTCACGTCTCACAAGAGACGTGACAGAAAGCTTAAATGCTTGCAATTGGCAAAAATAGGGAAAACTTTATCAGAAGATAAGTTTTTTCATTCCCCCTCTTCACGTCTCACAAGAGACGTGACAAAAAGCTTAAATGCTATTTACATCAGATATCCTTGGTCAGCATCGTCAATAGCAACAAAGGAAACTCTGACCGTTATCTGCAGGATGTGGATCAATAGCGGTGGTTATAATCCTGGTTGTCAGCGTCCGTATGCATGGAAGAAACAGCTCCACAAAGCCTGAATTGCCAGCAAAAACAGAGATGGATACAAGTATAGAAGAAAAAAGCGTTTATATTTACCAACCCATCCATCCAAGAGTCCCACTTTGAAGTATCCCCCCCTGAGTGGCCTTCTTTTTCCCATTAAAGTTCGAAACCCTTCCAGGGCGAAAAGTAAAGGTTTGCCATCTGTGGCTGTATTGTTGGGAAAAAGGTCCCAACATTTTCCCCAAAACATAGCACTACTCCCCCTTTTTTTCAGCCAGGAGCTTTCCCGACAGCAATACGTTTTTGGAAAAGCCATGAAAAGGGTCCAGCCAACGGGCCATGCACCGCCTAAAAACCTTGTTTTGCCCCTTTGCCTAATTTTTTAAAACTTTAAAAAGGGGACATAATTGATTTTCAAATTTTTTTTAAATTTGGGCACCCCCAGAAAAATTAAGTTCAAAACAGGGCGGCTACTTGGTAAATAAATTTATCTCTCGGGTACCCCCCTGGGCCCCAAAATTTGCATCAATTAGGTTGGGTCCCCATGGGGGGGGGCCCACAGCGCGCCTGGTCCGGGGTAGGAATTAAGTCAACACAGGGGTTCACCACTCCTAACCCTGTTGGATACACAGATTTGGTACAAAAAGAACTAGTGGCCAGGTGCCTGTAAATTCCACCCGCCCCTCAAACAGATGAACGCCCCCACACCACCACCAGACATCAGCCCGGAAACATTAAAAAAACTCAGATTGGGCTTAGAAAAACCCCGAAAACCATCCAACGGGTTCCCCTCCCAACAATGGAAACCTTTCATGGTTTAAACACAGGTAATTACCCTCTAGCCCCCCTGTGGGAAAAAAATTGGGTTTTCTTATTGCTTTCCCCCCCAAAGGGATGAACCCCTTCCCATAGGTACAATTGGGGGAAGGGTTTTTCCCATTTTCATGCCCGACGGGAAGGTTTCCGGCTAAAGGGCCCGGCAGGGAAAATTTGCAAACAATGGCCTTTCCCCCCATACAACCACCAACTCTGATATTCACCTTTGCCGTTTTCCTCAGTAAAACAAGACCAGTTGTTAGAAAGGCCGGAGACACCTGTAGCGGTCAGGTTGCCTCACCCAAAAGTAGGTGGATGGAAAGTAAAAAAATAGAATTAATTTTTAAATTACCATTTTCTTTAAATACCGTGTTTTTTGTGTTATTAATATGACAAATTCGAACTTTCCCAATGGACTGGTGCAGTGGTAACCCCTTACATAAGGAGAAAGCCCTAAAGTCCTGGCACCTAAGGAATACCAGGATAGATAGAAAATTTTGAGCCTTTAGATTTTTTTTTTGTCAAATCAAGAGTTTCCCCCCTTGGTTTTTCCAAGGGCTAGGGGTTTGAAAACTGGACCGTCATAATTAGTCTCACATCCCAAAGGGTTTTGGAGCCCAATCGCTAGGGGTTTGACCCCCACTGCCCAATACCATTTCCCAGTCCCGGTATTAGGTAATTCTCTAAAGCCCTCCCCAGGGCACTGTGGGATGGGGGTAACTTTAAAAGGGTAAACAAAATTGGGTGTTTTCTAAAATTGTCCGGGGCCCACGGGAAAAGGGTTTTTTAAAAGACAACTTGTCGTTTATTTACGTGGTGGCTGTGGCTTACTTTTCTGATCTGGGCTAAATTGTCGAGTGCGGGTTGGTGGGAACCCGTATGGTTGTACATTGAATGTGTCGTTGGGTTTTTACTATTGGGGTGAAAGGGGTTGCCTGTGTATTGCTGTACTGACCAGAGAAATATTCCTAAGAAACCCCAAATTTTTACAATCGCAAAACAAGGAGTGGGCAACACCCCGTCCTTTCCCATGGTGGCCCTGTCCCTCCTCTTTTTTTTTTTCCCCTCCAGAAATCTAAATGGGATTCTCCTCCACATATTCAATGGGTTGGTGTCAAAAATTTTGACCCAAATTTAAATTGTTTTAAATCACTTCGACTTCATCGGGTTCGGGAAGGGAGTTGGTGCGGGGGGCCAGTTTTAAAGGGGTCCCAAAGGTGCCCCCTGTTTTACCTTTGCCCGGGACTGAGTTGATCCCCCTTTCACTTCTACGGTCCAGCCCAAACCGGGGATTTTGGGCCATTTTCTCTTGTAAAACCTTGATCCTTACCCACCCCAAACTTTTCCCTTCGCAGCGCCGGATTCCCCGTCCCCCCCCTCTTGGACCTTGTGAATCTGTTTTGGAGAGAGCTGCAAGAGTTCCGTTAGTTTTTTTTCCACATATTCAAAACATTACAATTTGTTGTACTAAAGGCGGGCATATGACCTCCCCCCCTTGGGGGCCCAAACATGCTCTCCACCCTAATCTCATGTGGAGAGAATGGGTGCTGCTCCGGGGAGCTCTCACCCATAAACGCCGGGGGGCAGGCTTAAAACCCCACGTCAATTTTAACCTGCACATCCCTTTGGGTTTTCCTTACCCTTCAAATTTAAATTGGGCGCGTTCCACAGGCCCTGAAAATTGCGGCCCGGAAACCCAACCCAAACTTGTGCAAAAAGCCGAACCTCCCCCTCCACCGGGTCTCAGGTTTTTGGTTTTTTAAAATGGGACCCGTTGTGGGATCGAATTTTTTTTGGAACCCCATCCCTTGGTATATTTTCATTCTGCAGCCCCTTAATAACGACCTACATCCTCACGTGCTGTTTGGAAATTCCCCCCCAACCCTTTTGGAAATCGACCCCCCCATTCCAATATTCCCTTTTTTCCCATTAGTTACATTATCCCCCCCATGTCGTGTAATCTTGCTAAGTCCGAAAACTGCATTAGGTACGGGTATGCCCCCCTGGGGGGTTTGGGAAAGGTTTTTTTGGGGTTTTGTGGCTGCCCCAAATGTTTGCACTCATCAAAAACAAGCCCCTGTCATGCCCTTTAAATTTGTGGGTCCCACCAAAAGGGAAAACCCTTTCCCTGTAAAGTTTTGATTTTCCCCTTCATGGGGGGGGGCCCCTGACCCCTCACGAATCACCCCCTCGGGAAAAAAGGATTAGCGGGGGCCCCCCAAACCCCTGCCGCCCAGGGCATCCCCCAAAGTTCACAGGTCCTTTGGTGGCCCCCCTTTTGTCCCCATCCCGAGGGGCTCATAGGGGGCCCGCTGTAAATTGTAGTTCCTTTAATGTTTTGGGTCTGTGGTTCGTTCATTTGGTTTGAGTCTGCAGCCCCAATCGTCTTGGGGGTTTTCCCCCAGCTTTTTTGGGCCCTGCTTTGTCAGCGGGCGTCTTTTCCCCCTCGCTGCCCTTTTTTTCTTGATTTTGCTGTTTGTCCTTTGCATTCCCATGAGGGCCACCGCTCAGGTAGTAAAGACTCTTTTTTATAAATTCTTTTCCATTTGGGGCCTTGTGTTTGATCAAATTTTTTCCCTTTTTGTGGTAAAATTAACTCTGACCCATTGGGGCCCCATTTTGTATGGACTGCCCCCCTGAGCATATGCTGAGTCAGTGTAAATGTTCACATTTTTTTCCTTCACCCTTTTCCCAAAGGGCCCTTGAGTAAACCAAATTAAATCTCCCCTAGTTGGGCGAGGCGGGTTGGGGGATGTTTTTTTCCCGGGGTCACTGTGCCCCGTCTGGAAGCTGCGGGCCCACTGCATATGCTGCTATTTTTCCCTTTTTTTCTCCTCTATAGCAGCATCCTCGGGGGTACAACCTAGATCGGTTGGAAAGGGGTTCGTTTCCCAAGCCCGGGGGCCCGCATTTTCAGTTCCTGTGCCCCCTCTCTTCGCAGGAGTTGCCAACCCTTTTTCTGCATTGAGTGCGTCGCCATTTTTTTTGTGGGTGTTGAAAAAAGAATGGTAAATTGGGGTGCATTTATTCTGGTTTTTTGGTTTTTTCCCTTTCAGCGCGGGAACGGGGTTTTTCCTTGCTCTCAGATACCCTGAAAACCCCTGGTGCGTATGGTTTTTCCAAATTTGTGGCCCCTTCCCCATTTGGGGGGTTTTTTTCAAATAGCTTTTGCCATGCAGCCACGACCGGGAACTTGTTTTCTGCCCTTTCTTCAATAGGGCCCAAACTTTAGAAATGAAAACATCAGACTCTTTCTCCCCCTTTTGTTTCTGAAAAAGGATGGAAAAAGTGAACCCCTTTTTTTCCCAAAACATCAAAAATTAAATTTGGGGTTTTTGTGTCGGGTGCTTTCAGAGCGGGCTGCCACCGAGAAAAATGGGTTTTTTTGGGAGAGAAAAATGCTTTTGGATGCTTCATTTTCCCGGGTAAGTGAGGAGTGAAAGTTTTTTGGTCCTTTTCTCTCACTATTTTCCCCTCAGGGGGTTCAGTCCGGGGATTTTGTAGTCAGGGAGGTGGGTACGGCTGTACCCTGTAAACCCGGGGAAGGAAAACCTGCCTGACCTGGGGATGGACTTGGTTTATGGAGTTGGAATCTCGGGGGGTTTCGAGAGCCCAGCCCCCCCCTTTCTCCTAAATTTTCCCTTCTGCCCCAAAAAAAAACCCCCAGTTTCTGCGCCCGGACGGGAAACTTTGCTCATTTTGACCCTTTTAAACCTTTTACCCAAGAAATCAAGTAGGGTTTTTGTCATTTGTAGACAAGATCGATTTGGGAGCCCCCAGCAAAAATCATCTTCATTTGGATGAGTATCCTTTCAGGATTTTCCTTCAGCCAGGGGTTTTTCTTTAGGATATGAAATTTAAGATTTCCCCGGGGGAAAACCTTAACCCGGGGGAAGAAAACCAATACGTATACTGTTGATGTTTTATTGAAGCAAGAGGGCGGGGAAACCTCATCCCGTGGAAAACTGAAAGAAGGGGAAATTTCCATTTCCCCAACGGGAAATTTTGGGGGTTTTGGGGAGAGAAATTTTCCCGTGTAATGTGAAAAGGGCAGGGGCAGGGAGGTCAAAGGTGCAGTGAAATCGTTCACTGCTTTTGGGAAATCTTGTACCATCCGGTATGTTTTTGCCCCCTGCTTTTAAGCTGGTAAGATTGGTGTGTTTCCCTGGAGACACGTTCGATATATGACACAGCTCCCCAAAAACCCCCCTCTATGGTTTGGGGTTTTATCCCCCTGGTCTGTTTTAGGTTTCAACGGGACTGTGTTCGGGGGAATAGGAATTTTTATCAGGGGTTTAGTAAAGGGGATGGGGACTGGGTTCCCCCGAGTTGTCCAACATCAAAAGGGGTGTGTGGGCCATATGCCTTCATCAATGGTGGGAAAACAGTGCTTGGGATGAGGGGGGGTCCCGGGGTAAGGTTTAAACCCTGGTGTTTGGGAGAGTCAAACGTTCAGGAAAGGGAATGTTCCCTCTGTGTCAATGTCCCTAAACCCCCCAC